ATATATATATATATATATATATATGGAAATGATTTACTGAGTATCGATGATCATCTTATATTAAGCATCGTAACGTGTCGTATAAATTCATTAGTAAATAAACTTATGGTGGACCTAAACATTTGAATTAACTTTAAAATCCACCAATGAATTTATATAACGCATCATCGGTGCTTAATATATCATCCTTATACATGTGGTTAAAAAATTAAAAAACTGTATTTTAGAATAATATTTTAATGGAAAATGTGTAGTTAAAAAAATTTTAAAAAAATATTGGTTTATGTGTAATATTATTTTATTTAAGAATGTATGGTTGAAAATAAGATAGAAAAAATATATTTTAAGAATAATGAGGATCAAACAAGAGCTTAAATGCTCCAACTTGAATTGACGTCCTAGGAGGACAATTTGTTAACATTATATTTGATATATCAATGTTACATATTATAATATAATTGACGTCCTAGGAGGACTTGCTAGACGAAATTCAAGGCCCAAGCAAAATGATTGAGCATTTTTTCGGGCCTGAGCTGGGTCGAGCAAAACCTCGGCAAAAAAATTAAGCACGACTCGAGCTTTTGGTTTGGGCTAAGCCGGGCCGAGCAGGATCGATTTTTGTTTTGTTATTATTTTTATTTTTTAATGTGCCTTTTTTTGAGGCAGCATGTTGCTGCCTTTATATATATATAGGCTCGGGCCTAGCACCCCAAAATGGGGTTCGATCCGAGCTTTGAGTTGGGCAAGCTCAAATTTTTTTCGAGTCAACGAGTCCAATTCTCATTCCTAATTCTATACTTTCATATATCGAGAATAAAGAGGAAAGGGGAGAAAAAGAGTTGATATTTCGTTAGTTCTTACCTAACAAAATTTATTTTATCAAATACTACATGAATGCCATTTTTCAAATCGATTTTAAAAATAAATTTTTTCAAAGTGAAATTTATCAATGGTGCAGTCCACATTATTAAACCACAATTTCATCTTGTCATAAATATTGTTTTAGTAAATTTTGATAAAAATATTTAAAATGTGTAACTAAAAAATTCATAAACATTATCTCTCTCATAAAGTGTGTAATTAATAGTCATTGTTAATTTTAACTTTCTTTTAGTTAAATCATATATTGGCGAAGCCCTTATTTCATAGAAATTAAAATTAAAATTTTAATCTAAATCGAAATAAACAACTAACATTAATCACACATTTTTTATTTTTATTTTTTTATCAATTTTTATCAAAATATGCTAAAAAATCTGCTTTTAACCACTGCCAAACAAAGGCTAAGTAACAAAAGCAACTTGTCAGTAAAAAATTTAAAAATAACAAACGAATTCAACAGGTCAAAGGCAACACACTTGTAAATTAATTTCAAAAGGTCTAAGTTAAGAGTAGATTAGACTTCAAAACCATACATAAATGTTTGTTTACCCACTTGAGTCAACTCAAGGGTGTTCCTGAGTCAATACCCGAACCACCACCCTCGCAACCGGCACCACTGTCCCCCCGCTAACACTGAGGCAGCACATCATCTCGCAAGGGTTGTTTTAAGTGTGGTTCGTTCTTGACTCACCCCCTAAATTGAGTGCCCTGCACCTCGAGCAAACTCATTCACACGATCCCATGTTTAGCTATACGATAACGAACATGGATCCAAACACCGACACACAATACATATAAATTTTTGTTTATCAACTTTCACAATTAAGGGCAGCCTTAATTTTCTGCACGGTGCACGAGATGAGATTATTGACGGTCTCAACCGACTCTACCGTGAGCTTGGCCGCAGGCAGACTATTAACCAAAATTTGAAATGCCACGGTCAACAATGACCCACTTGCCCTCTGCCCCGAAACCCCATCCATTGCCGGTCCACGAGACCCCGGCCCATCAGGCATGATCGCAAATCCCGAAGGAAGTAACGCAACATAAGCCGAATCCCCACCGTTCATCACCACGTGCATTGCAGGAATGTCGACCGGTGCGTAAACCACGAGCGATCCCGCTGCATCGATGCACGTCTCCTGGAGTATGAGCATGCTCCTCTGGTTCGAATTCATGGCCTGCAAAAATGACAAGAACAACCTCAGTATCTTATCAAATTTCACCAAATTGCCACTGCACTGTAAAAAAATAAGATATCAGACGTCAGATTCTTTACCGTGAAACTTAGTCAACCATTATAATATGACTTTTCATCAAGAAAGTGACCTCACGGACCCCACGGGCTGACCCATAAAGTTGATGGGTGTCATGGGTTTTGACTTTTATATATAACAACAATATATTAAAAAGTTTGGACAGTCCGTTGGATCTCAAATGGATCGTCCTTATAGATACCTCCAAAATTCCAGTTTTGTCCTTTACAATCCTACCCTTTTTCTGAATACTCGAGAATCTGAGAATCACCTAAATATTATGGGCAAATGCTACATGTAACCATTTTTTAAAATTTTTTTTTTTCCATATTTTGAAAATTTGCTCGAAAATCAACCCAAGAAAGATAAAGGGTGAAGGGCTTACACTTGCACGGAGGAGGGAAACACAGTTGCCATGATCTTGGCCTTTGGCAATGTGTGCCATTTCTTGCATGGGGCCACCATTGGATAATATGTCCCACTCGCTCCGGAGTCGTTCGTCACGGAGGAAATCAAACAGTCTGTGAGGGGAAACGGGCAGCCAAACCGAAGTAGAGGCACTAAGAACAATACCAGGTGGCTCGCCCGGATCGTCAGCGCTTTTCCGAGTCATGACCCGGACATCTTCATCGACATTTCCGGCGGAGAATTTGTTCCATTCGTGAACTGTTGAAGCGCAAACGCCAGCACAAAAGTTATCAGTCATGCGCTGGGCGAGCTTCAACATGCTTCTCCTCCCACTTGGAGTTATTGCTGCATGTGATGTTGAAATTAATTTCCATTCACAGGAATACAAAGGGTTTATGATTCACATGATAAGACTGAAATTGGTTTCTTTACCTGTATGATCTCGGCTGGAGACAGTGGAGGACATAAGAATGGCAAGACATTCGCATTGTCGTTGAAGGGTTGCTACCCACCTCTGCGCGCCAAATCCCATGCCCGAATTAATCAAAGGCCGATAGAGACGATGAACCACGCTCTCATCGTAGTCAGCATGTTCTACCCATATAATCTGTCATCGATGAGTAATGTAACTAAATAAGCATAACACAATAAAAATAAAATAATATTATCTAACACCAGTCTGAGTGATCACACTTGATAGGTTCAATTAAATGAATTATGTGACAAACTTATTTAAATAAATTTATCATTTAATGTCATGCAGTTGCCACCTTGATACCAGTGGTGGTTAATAATATTACTCATAAAAATGCCCGTCAAAAGCAATTAATGGCTCCAATTTTCTTCTCCTATCCTTTTTTATAGGATGAGGCTTTGACCAGTAAGAAGCAAGATCAAGGTTAAAGAGTTCAATAAAAATAATTCAAGATCAAAATAATTACTTAAATAAACAATTATATATCATAAAAACATTGCTAACAAGTGTTTATAAAGCCAATTCTTGATTCTCAGAGTTAAAACTTTACAGGCCAG